GAAAAAGTCACAGGGGGCCAGGTCTGGGGAATACGGTGGCTGCGGCATCATTAGTGTGTTGTTTTTGGCCAAAAATTCGCACACAAGCAACGATGATTTTTGGTTGAAAGTGAGCAATTTTGGTACGAATTTCGCGGCGACCCGTCTCATGCCCAAATCATTGGTAAAAATCGAGCCAATCGATATGTTTAGGTCCTCAGCAACTTCTCTAACGGTGATTCGACGATTGGCCAATACTATTTTCTTCACTTCATCAATGTTTTCGTCTGTTATTGACGTGCTCGGGCGTCCGGCACGCTCTTCGTCGTTCACATCTTCTCGGCCCTCTGAGAACATTTTGTACCACCGATAAACGTTGCTTTGGTTCAAGGTAGCTTCACCATATGCCACAGTCAACATTCGGAATGCGTCCGCGCACTTAATTTTGTTTTTCACACAAAATTTGATACATATTCTTTGATCCATTTCTTGGAGTAGGCAAAAATCGAAGACGAGCCAAAACACGTCCAAGCAAAATAGCTGTCAAAAATTAACTGAACATTCAAAATGGCCGAACTTGTCAGCATGAGTGAGGGACATGAGTACCAACATAACGCCACAAAAAAATCGAAAATCGAATATACGTAGCCCGCGGAAATTCCAAATTCGCGATACTTTTTGAACAGACTTCGTATACACGCACACTTACCTTTATACATAAATATATATACAAATAAATATACAAAATATTACCCCTCTTCCTCCGCCTGTCAAATACAAGGGGAACCTAACCCCGCAGGTGCTGCTCTTATAACACTCCACTGCACTGAACACTGCACTGACACTCGCGAAACACGGTAGTATCGTTGCGCGTTCTTACCGCTCGGCCCACGCGACCCTATTACCACGGTTTCAGTAATCCTCGCGATACTTTTAATTGAAGAAAACACTTATTATCACTGCACTTTTCACACACACACGCACACAACCTTATACACGCGTCTTCACAAACACACTCGCACAAGGAGGCCGACGGCTCACCGCGAAGGCGTCTTCGAGGTTGGCAACACTAGTTACTAGCTCTCGAGAGGCGTTAGCAGCGCCTTGCCGTCCCCGCTCTCCTATTGGCCAACGGCAGCCAACCCGTGCGATCCATCGGCACACGGCGGCAAAATCATATCGGTTTCCTTTTCGCTCACACTTGTTATAGCTTGCCGTGTACATTGCGCCTCCGTCAACCCACACGCCAGGGGGACATCAAGCGGCCCTCGCGTACCTACGCAGCGCGTGGCGTTGAATCCGCGTTCGCCCACCCCGGCGCCAGCTGACTCACAGCCGCCAATTTCGACGCGATACCCCATACGGACGCGGATAGCGTTGCGCAAACTGCTGCTACGGCTCAGCGGCGAGTAATAAACCGCCGCGAACGTAACACGTTATTAAATATTCTTAATTCAGGTTATTGCAGGTTATAGCAGCTAAAACTTGTCATTACTTTTCTAAAAAAGTACATACTTTTTAATGAAAAAAGTTTATCTTGAACCAGTTTGAACTTTGAAAGATACAGTTCATTAAAATTCAAAAAGTGGTATAAAACTCTTATTTTTAGAAACATTGTTTAATTAACTACATTTCTGGAAATGAAAAAAGTGTTAAAAATTATTTTTGGATATTTTCAGGTACCTTCTTGAAAATATGCATGATCACTTATACAGAATAAAAAGCAGTAATAATAAAAATAAGTTATAAAGTGTTGTGATTTTCGTACATTTTGAGTAAGAAAATCTACAATTCTCGAATTTAAAATAAGAAAAGATTTCTTTAAATATTTCCAAACAATATTATTGTTTTAAAATTAAAACCTAGCCTAGTTAATGTATCTATAAACATATAAAATTATCAGATTGCTCAATTTTTAATTTTCATTTCTCGTAGTTTTGGCCAAGGAAACCATCGAAATAAACCGTAGTGGGTCGGCAAACTCTGCTTCGACCGACGAAGATGTTGCTATTTCGGGGCCTTTCCCGAAATGAGACTGCATAATGCCAGTCCAAAGCGGCAGATATGGAAGTAACTGCTCCTTGAAACGATGAGCGAAGTCGGGATTGTAACAAGCGTTTATTATGCTTCCAGCTTTGGATTCGTTGCTGATCTTCTGTGCCTACTATATATCGTGTTTGTCCACGTATTCCAATCGGAAGCAGCGAAATCATTTTCCGGATCATTTTTGCTATTCTCATCTTCACTGCCTTCTTCGGCATATTTATTTTCGTCCTTCAAAGTAACACCCTGAATAGTTTGATTGAGGAATTTCATGCGTATTTCAGTTGGTATAGATACGCCGTCGGGTGTATTTCCAATACATTCGCTCAAAGAAACTACGAGCACTGATTCAATGAAATACGTCAGCGTCTCAAAGTAATGCATCTGGTATGCTTGCGCAATACAACGTAAATATAATCGTCGTACCGCGGCTACATTCGTTTTCAGGCATTTCCATCGGGATACCATGGCGATCACGTGACTGACGTCGAGCCTTATGTACGACGCTGGTATGTATAGTAGAACATTTTACAACAGTATTGTAACATATCTTTAAATAATTTGGCAAATCAGTGCATTTTCCAAATACCTCGGCTACAGCGTTCACCAAAGCGCGCCCGAAATCGCACACGATTATAGGAGGATGGGGCAAACCTTTCGATAAAATTAATTTTAAAAAATGTACTATTTGTAAAGATCTTTGGTCAGCGGACACCATCTGAAAGACTGGCACACGACCTTCTTTAGTCACCAACATACATTGGTATAAAAACACGTGCGGCTCGTGCTTCGAATCTCGTTTCGATATACCTCCTGTTACATCGAGAGCCATAATAGCGTTAGGATCTTTTTACACCGGGCTACATAGATTTGTTGCTGTTTCCGACGTCCACTATAAGTAGATGGGGTGGGTTACTACTACCTCAAGGTCTCCGCGC